TCGGTGATAGTGGTACGCGTGAGTGAAGGTATCAAACGATATCCGGTCAATTTAGCGTAATTTGCGAAAAATTATACAAAAATCGCTCCGAGTCCTCTTTTCCTTTTTTTATCATTCTTGTTTACGGATTGAATTTTTTACAGATTCGAAGAGTGTTTACACGTAAACGGCAATATTATCTTAACGAGCATAGCGTACCGGCAATTTTATCTCTCGTCGTTCTGTTTTAATCGCAATTTGGCGTACATTTTCTTGGAAGAGACACACAGATTTCGTTCCATTTGTATCAATATAAAATTGATTTAATTTCAAACACGGTTTTTTCATTTAAAAAACTTTCCGTGAATATGCCATTTCTCTTCCGTCCTATGTTTCGCGTGCTTTGGAAATAAAATGTATACAGACATTTTGCCGTTTCGTTGTTATCGAGGCCGATATTTTGGTTAATTGTTCGCAAAAGAGAGAGAGAGAGAGAGAGAGAGAGAGAGAGAGAAATGGACAGAGAATCTCCTCTAGTAGGTATGTTGCATTCGCAACAGCTATTCGAACAACGCTATCGAGGAAAAATTGCAAAATTTAGCACCGAAGATACTTGTCGCAACGTAGAAAAGTTTCGTGTCGCTGTATGCCGAAAACATTATATCGATTATTCTTTTGTTATATTTGCAACACAAGTTACACGGACTAGAAACTAAAAATAACCCTGAATTTCCGCTGTGGTAACAAACACATATGTCAACGTTCATTCCGTAAATAATCCCCGCTGTTGCGTCAACGCTTTCCTATTAATATGACGTAATATTTGCCTGATAAATATGTAAATATAGCGTGTAATTTGTCGATAGACCCTCTTCCGTGTTACATAAAGATATCAAGCGGAATCTTTAGAGAGGAAAACATTGCTCCCCTGAAATCCTGTCTATTTCTTTGAATCATTCAAGCTTACCGGGGAATTACCTGTGCCTGTAAAGGAGCATTCTGCTTTACAGCTGAGTCGGATCGAGTGGTATTTATAGGCGCTTCGATCGATAGGATTTTACACGTTGAACAGCTACAATACTAAGTAACCACATAACATAAATTCATTTAAACAATTTAACTCATCATTTATCAGCCAATACGTAAAACACAATAATTTGTTTATCGAGAGATTGTTCACTTTTATCGTATCGAACGAGAGAACATCGCGTTCACATTTGCACGAACGAAAAGGAAGTAGTTGCTTATAATTTTTACTCACTTTTAATTATGAACCAGAGAGACTGAATTTCTGTCTGAAAGATGAACAGTTAAAAAGTTAAAGCGCCGACATTTGAAAAATTAGAAATGCCGCATGGAACGTTAATATGAAAAATATTTCCTTTCGTTGATCACAATATACACAGTAGTTACTCCGCTATAAAATGTCTTGGGCTCCCCAGTAATAT